CAATAAAGGTTCCTTTCTTTTAGTATTCAGAACTCCCCTCCTCCTTTGCAAGAGATCTACGAAGCTTGCCCTGTAGGCAAAGGAGCCACGCTGACCTTTGCTGTTGGTCAAGGTCCTCCAGGGACTACTGCATTCTCAGGGCCTTGTCTCCCTTGAGTCAATGAGGTCCCTAAAACTTGGGTTCAAGAAGACACAGAGCCACTGTCACAAAAAAATAAGGCCAGACTGCAACAGTTCTCCAAAGAGCTTCTGAAAACCTGTGAATACTATATGAAAAGCACAATTCAGAGAAGAAAAAAATTCTTTTTCAGGCATCACTTTTTCCAAAATCCAATAAAAGACCAATTCCCAGGTAATTCCCCCATAGGCTACCCCCTCATTAGCTCAGAAGTGTTGGGACTATTCTTCTTCTAACCTGAGTCCTCTCTCTCATCTCATTTCCCAGAGTCTCATAGCCTCAACTTCCTTCTCCTGGTCCCATTATATAAAGATATAAAATAAATTATATAACATTATCATAATTTATCTGGAGCCACTGCTTTACTAACCTTCAAAATAGACTTTTATAATATTATTTTTTAAAAAAACAGTATAGCCGTTGTCAAAAGAAAAACTTCAGACAAATTAAATTTAACAAAGTTTTTTTGAGCAAAGAATAATTCGTGAACCAGGTAGCACTCAGAACCAGAAGGGGTTTAGAGAACTCCCCTCTGCAACAGTGACGTATTTACAGACAGAGTAAGGAAGTAAAGTACAAAAATAACTTGATTGGCTACAGCCATGCATTTGCCTTATTTGGAAATGATTTGATTAGTTGGCTGCCTGTGATTGGCTGAAGCTTGGCTGCTCACGATTGGTCAAGATTTGGCTGTTTTTTATACTCCTGAGATAGGTTTTCAGTTTGTGTATCCACTAAGTTAGGTTGTAGTTTGTAACGTAGGCACTCAAAGTGCAAAGACAGCCTCAGGCCCATGGCCTCCTGCTTGTGTAATTTACCATTATTTTGTCTCAGCCTCTCCTTTCATGAGTAGACTTAGTGCCTTAATTTTACACAAAGAAGGGCCCTCTAAACTGCCCCCACTGCACCAAATAAAAAGACAAGTCTTCACAAAAAGGTCAGTTATTGCCATCCCACAAAGCACAAACTATACAATCTATTGGCAATACTGCCCATCCAGTGTGGCCCTGACTTTGGCTACTTACATTTCTGTACATTAGAGAAATGTCTAACCCACTGCCAAAGCGTTATATGCACCAGTTCACTTCCTTTGCCCTGGCCCTCACTCTTCCTCTGCTTTTATGTTTTGTTATATCACTTATTGTTATCTGATGTCCTTATTTATCAAAGGCCTCTCCCCACTAGCTTGTAAATGCTTCCATGATGGGGTGTTATGGAGAGAATTGTGTTCTGGGCAGAAATTCATATTTTGAAGTCCTAATCCTCAGTATATCAGAATGGGACCGCTCGATATAGACACTACAGAGGCAAGATGATGTGAAGATTCGGGGAGAAGATGGCCATCTACTAGCCAAGGAAACAGGCCTGGAACCGTCCTTTCCTTCCAATCTTCAGAAAGAACCAAGAGGCTGACATCTTGATCTCAGACTTGAGAATTGGGAAGTAACACATTTCTCTCTTTTAAGCCACGCAGTCATTGGCACTTTTTTACAGCAGCCTTAGCAAACTAATACACAGAAGATTTTTGTTTTGTTTATTTCAGCATCCTCGTGCTTTGGAAAAAAGAAATAAAGGGAAAAATGAAAATAAGTAAAAAGAAAACAATAAAGATGAGGTAGAAATCGATGAAATTTAATTTAATGATTAAATACCAATAAATGTTTATTATGACAGTTCAAACAAGTCAAGTTTATGGTGAAATTGATGAATAAAAGAATAAAAAAATCAGAGAGGCTATGAATGATTGGATAATAACAGTGTTCTACTAACTAAACACAATGAATGTAAAACATCCTGTAAAACTATCCCCTTTGGTGTCTTCGTTGCTGACTACTATTTTAATTCATACAGACCTAATGACACAGGAAAATTTACAAGACTTTAAAATTTCAAACCCTAAATGCAAACATTTATGCAAAAGATTAAAGAATACATCCCTTAAAAGTTTTTTTCTTACAGAGTAACGTTTTGAATAATTTCTTCAAGTTTTCTGCAATAAGCATGAATTTACCTTAGGATGAGGAAAAACTCATAAAATATACTTTAAAAAATAAACACATAAAATGCATAGAAAGAGATTCTGCAAAATCAGAGTGCAGAAGTAGATTAGAACATCCTTTCTACAAAATATTTATGAGGTCATGTGGTAGGTAAATAACTTTTTTTAATTAAAAAATTTGGACATTGACGAATCATTATCACAAAAGTAAATGCAAGACTTAGAAAGTTTATGAAGTACTGAAGACAGAGGTAGCAGTGTACTGTGCTTTTTGGCTTATCTGGAAATTATTTTTCAGAAATTCAGTATTGAAGAATAGTTAATAACATTTAACATGTGAGAATATTTACTATTTCTAACCAAAATTTTTCTATTTCTGTAAAAAAAAGTTATATATTTTAGTCAACTCCTTGGAAATTAGCTTTTCTGTAATATCATCTATTGAGTTAATAAGATAAGTGAGAAATATTCCACTTAAATTATCCCCAAAAAGTCTGGTGACCATATACTCAGTGAGAGAGAAGGGTATCACAAAAAACTATATTTTATATCCACATATCTGAAAAAATACCTGGCAGTCCTCAACATCATTTAAGTACAAAATGGCTTGATTGTTTTATACTGTGAATAAGTATCAGTACTGAAAGAAAAATGTATGATGGGAAACTGCATTGGTAAATACATCAAATAGGTCTGAAAGACCCAATGAGTAAATGAAACTTAGAAGGGAAGAAGTATTTGCTCAACTGACATTAAAACATCTTCCATATGAGAATAACAATTTTCTCCAAATACTTTCCAAATGAGATTTTGTCACCACTCTCAAGTTTGGCTGAAGAAATTAAAGTCATGAGGTCACATGAGATCAAACAAAATGAAAAGTTTAATTAATCATTTTATGAATTAAATCAATGAAGAAAACCAAACTGGAAGACAAATTGTCTTCTGTTTTTGCCAGTAGCAGGTTCAAAAGAGCCTGAATAATTCAGGTGATAGCCTGACATGTTTTATTAATTTTTTACCTTTTTATTATATGATATATCGATCATCATTAGATATCATCACAAGTTTCCCTCTTCTCTCCTCTCACATTCTCCTGTCCTTTCTATTTTTTGAAAGCACTAAACACTGGCATGTTATGTATCTTAGTACTTTACTATCTTCCCCCACTAGAATACGAGTTCTATGTGAAAACAAAAGCTAGAATATAGAATTATGTGTAATTATTGGAAAAATGTTCTCAATTAAAGATGTGTTTTAGGAAAAGTTAGTGCCTAAATCCAATAGAGTAGAGGAATTTTAGAACTGATTAAAAGTACTATGGAATCCCCACATTTTACAAGTGCCATTAAAAAGGCAAAGATATTAGTTTTAAAATAACAACTTCTTTAAAAAGTGGGCAAAGGACATGAACAGACACTTTTCAAAGGAAGACATTTACGTGGCCAATAAACATATGAACAAAAGCTCAACATCACTGATCCTTAGAGAAATGCAAATCAAAACCACAGTGAATTACCATCTCATGCCAGTCAGAATGGCTATTATTCAAAAGTCAAGAAACAACAGATGCTGGCGGGGCTGTGGAGAAACAGGAATGCTTTTACACTGCTGGTGGGAATGTAAATTTGTTCAACCATTGTGGAAGACAGTGTGGTGATTCCTCAAAGACCTAGATCCAGAAATGCCCTCTGCCCAGCAATCCCATTACTGGGCATATACCCAAAGGAATAGAAATCATTCTATTATAAAGACATGTGTGTTTGTTATAGCACTATTCACAATAGTAAAGACATGGAGTCAACCCAAATGCCCATCAATGATAGACTGAATAAAGAAAATGTGGTACATACACACTATGGAATACAACGCAGCCATAAAAAGGAAGATGATGTCCTTTGCAGGGACATGGATGGAGCTGGAAGCCATTATCCTCAGCAAACTAACATGGGAGCAGAAAACCAAATACTGTATGCTCTTGCTTATAAGTGGGGGCTGAACAATGAGAACACATGGATACAGGGAGGGGAACAACACACACTGGGGGCTGTTGGGAATATCGGGGTTGGGGGGAGAGAGAGCATCAGGATAAACAGCTAATGCATGCTGGGCTTAATACCTAGGTGACATGTTGATAGGTGCAGCAGACCACTCTGGCACACGTTTACCTATGTAACAAACCTGCACATCCTGCACATGTATCCCAGAACTTAAAATACCATATATTTCAATATTTAAAATTTCATATTGTCCTAACTTAATGACAACAAAAGAACCTCTAGATGATATTGTTAACTGTGTTGCTTATTTAATCTAACCAAAAATTAAGTTTTGAAATGGGAATAATATAGATTGACATTTTTACTTGCAATAGCAAGACTTTTTTGAGGGCCCATCTCCTAAGTCTGTAATGCAGGTACCTGCAGATCCCAAGACAGGAGCCCATTGAGAACCTAGAACGAATTTTTTAAAGCACATAACAATACCCTTTGGAAAATGTTTAGACACACCTCTGGTCCTGGCATTGCAAAAGACTTTGCTTTCCCTGGAAGCAACTTCCTTTTATTTGCATGATTCTTTTGAGAGATTTTCTTGCTTTAATTGACAATTTAATTAAGTTAAAGGCCACAGTATAGTGCTGGAAGTACTTTCCTTCTAAAAACAGCACTTTGGCCTTTAAGTGTTCCAAAGAATGGCCTCCTTCACCACAAGTGCCATAGGGCTTGGCACCTCTGTCCACATGCATACGGTTTCTTTGAGTCTAAAAGCAGAGAGGGAGATAGAAAGCCAGAATCTGCCAGTCTTTCCTGCCTCCCAACTTACTCATTTCCAACGAATGCCTTAGTGACCGGCTGCTAAGTGGGCGAATCCCAGCAAACCACATTCTGCTATGAGTGGAAACGGTTCAAAAGTTTCAGTTGTTCCTTCCAACCAGTGGATCGTCTTTTCCTGTAAACGTGGCCCAAAGACGTTTATATGAAGTTATAGGTGGACTTGACCTTAGTCAGGCTTAGAGGAAAAGGCAGTCTTCCAAGAATTCTAGAACTCAGTGCTTCACATCCAGTCAGAAAGAACCCATAAACAGCTGTACAGAGGTCATGTGGTCCTCTCCCAGCTGAAAACCCTTCAAAACAGCAAACTCAGTAAATGGCTGTGGTATTTATTTATGCTGTTTATCACTCTGGTAGAATGTGGACTAGGATAGTAGCCTGGGAGATTATCTTGTGGTGATGATGCAATTCTAGCCCAGTGCTGCACAGCTGATAAGGCGACCTGCAATGTCCTCCCTGAGGCGAGGGGTTTTGAGATTGCAGAAGCCAGCCTGTTCTGGTCGCTGGTGCCTACTGTAATGGGAAAGACCCTCAGCCACCATCGCCGATGCATGGCAGTCCTCTGCTCGTGCCTTTTCTTGCTTAACACTAGTGTTTTAATGTTTTGATGGGTGTGACCTTTGTAGACAGTAAGTAAGGTCTTTCTCGTGCTGTGACTGGTACTTGTTCAGGAAAGTTGCAGAGGCCACAGGACAGAAGCTGAAGCCAGGAGTTCGTGGCCAAAGCGTCCGGGAGCTCCCTCTGACTATGGCTGGCCTATCGCCGAGCATCTCTCTTTGCTCTACTTGACCCTTTTGGAAAATCAAACTCACTATCACTGTCTTCCAAGAAGGCTTGAACAGAAACTTATTTCTAAATCTTTGATGGTAAAACTAAGCAATGAAAGATTTCTCCAAGCAATTGTTACAAATGCTTGACTCTGTATTTTTCATTGTTTCCTGATTCTTTCCCTACCATCAGTGACAAATTATGATAGCTCCACTCATACCTCTCTCCTCTTTTCCATTTTCACTGCCATCGTCCTTACTCAGAGCCTCACTATCTATTGCTTAAAATCACTGCAGTAGTTTAGTCAATTTTCCTTCCAGTTCATGGTAAACACCACAGCAAGATGCATTTTCCTAAAGCATACTACTGATCTAAAGAAAAAAAAAAAACCAACTGATAGATGTCTGTTACCTATCAAATTGAGTGAGATGCCTTAGTTGTGTACTAAACACTTCAACGCATCAACCCTTTGAGCCCCAACTTTTTATATATCCATTACCCTTTCTTCAATATTTCAGCCTTAACTCCAGTTTTGGGGAGATGCCTGTGCTTTGGGTTCAGCTTAGATTAGATCATCAGGTTTTAGAAAATAGCTGAAGACTTTGAGCAAGAGAATGATGTGGTCATAGAAATGTTTCGGGTGGGTCTGGATTATGGCTTTGGAGGGTGACTGAGCAGGGTGAAAGCTACTGCCTGTGTCTGGGCAGGCGAGGATGAGGGCTTACGACAGACAGCTGAAGGAGGCATGCAGAAGCAAGCGATGAGATCAGGCACCCAAAGAAAGGATTTCTAGAAAGGACAATATTTGATAAGGTGGAATGAATTAAAAATAAGAGAAAAAGACAACTTTCAGATTCCACATTCAATTTGAGCTATCATTTAAGACTGTCTCTATAACAGGCCTTGTAAGTGAAGCATGATGCCGTAAGTCAATGACTGTCCGTTTAAAATGGCATGTGTATTATTTCAAATACCACTCAGATTAACATGACTCGTTTTTCCACTAATTCCCTACCCCCAGCATTTTCATCTTTTTAACCACAGGCCTATCAAATAATCGGATTGTCTTCCTCAGAATATTTTTAGTACCTCTGTCAGTATACAGCAAATCATCAACACGGTGAGTTTGCAGTTCACCATTATTCTAATTGCTACGTACTTTCTGACTGTGGAGCACAGACAAAATCATATTCGCTCTGAGGTCATTTAAAGCAACATTTTAACACACAATTCCTTTAAACAGACGCTGAATGATCGGCGATATCTGCAGGAACACTAAACACGGTATAGCTATGCCATGTTACATGATTAGCAGCACTGGCTGCACCCGTGCTCAACAAACGTTTGTTGACGTTTTCTTCAAATTCTAATATATTCTTCAATGTTGTAAAGTTGAACATACAATGGTACCATTAGAGAAAAACAGGTGCAATAGTTACCACTTCCACCCCAGAAAGGGAAATTGATAAAGCACTTTCTAACTTGTTCGGCTCATTGCTTTATTTATAAAAATAGATGTGGGTAGTTTGTTGTTAAATTCTTTGAAACCTTTATTTAGAAAATAAAAATGACATAAAAGCATTTTTACTTGTTGGCAAACAGAAGGGTTAGGAAAATGTTAGGCTGTGACTTTCTCCTTGAGTGAACGTGGTTCTCATTAACTCACAGGAATCAGAAAGTAAAGAACACCAGAGGCCAGGAACTCTACAGTGAAAATGCTGAATATCTGATGAAATGTGTCTTGCAAATTAAATCTCAGACTCTTTTCAGAGCTCTTAATACACTCTCAGGGGTGAAATGTGTTTGTTTTTAGCAAAGTAGATTAGCTTACATCTTGTGATGGGAAAAGTCTGTGTAATGCTCGTGTCCTTTAGCTCTCATTTCGGAGCAGTTCGTTCGGGTTGTATCTTTTGGCCATAGTTGTGGATCTCAATTTTCTACCCTGTCTGAGTGTTAAATCATTTTCTGTCTGCTGTCAAGCCATCTCTTTTGGTTCCCATGCCCCCCTCCTCTTTTTGTAAGGTACTTACTTATTTCTAAGGTCAGGTGGAATTGAACTTTAGTTTTCTTTCTTTATCAGGCACTTCAAAATCTAGCATTGCTTCATATACCTGACTGCCAAATATGGCCAGTTTTAACCAGAATATAAATTACTGGACTATAAACATTTGTACAAATTTTGTACAAATCACATGTTCAGTGGGCCTGATTTTTTTAGAGTCCAAAGAAGGTGGAATAGGCATTTGAGCAACAGACAGGTTTTGAACAATAACTATTCCCAGTAGTTGAATGATTTGGAGGACAAGTCAACATGAACCACCACCATTGTCTGTACCATCTTTTACAATACTTCTATGCTTTCAAAAACCTGGAGTGAAGTTCCATTCCCAAGCCAGCAGGCCACCTCCATCAACCCTCCTAGATTGATTCCCCCACTAAGCTGGGGCGACCAGGCCTTCTTTTATTCTTTCTCATGGCAAATAGTCCAACAGATGTTTCCTAGAGGGCTGTGGTGGCAGGGAGATTGATTTCTTGGCTTTCTGGGGTGTTAACATAGTATCTTGAAAATTATGTCATGTGGACTACAGTCCTTATGCTTGTCTAAAAGAAACTTTAAACGTGTTTGGAAGAGGATACATGTCTATATGGAATTACTTTGGCAATGGCCTTTATTTCTGCTTCCAAATCAAGGAGGGCAACTTCAAATACAAAAAGACAGCTTCAGCATGATTCAGAACCCAAGTGCAAGATCTCCATCACAAAGCAACGTGATGCAGCTCATATCTCCATCACAAAGCAACGTTCTGCAGCTCATATCTCCATCACAAAGCAACGTTCTGCAGCTCATATCTCCATCACAAAGCAACGTTCTGCAGCTCATATCTCCATCACAAAGCAACGTTCTGCTGCTCATATCTCCATCACAAAGCAACGTTCTGCAGCTCATCACAGATATGTACTATAATGAATTCTGGCAGGCACACTATGATTGTCTCCTGATGAAAAGTATGACAGTTTATCAAGACTATTTTGCATTCTAATCCTGTTCTCCAACCAGCTTGCCTAGCTTCCACATGTTGGTAATAATAGCTAACACTGATATAGCAATTTATGCGATACCAGGCACACTTAAAAACAGTTTACATATATCATTTAATTTATTCCTCACAACCACCTTATGATGTAAATATTATTATGATTTCACGTTAAAGATGGGGAACTGATGCACAGAGGAGTTAAGTAACTTGCCCCATGTCTAATAGCCAGTGAGTGCTGGAGTCAGGATTTGAATCCATTAGTCTCAATCTGAGACGTAACTACTTCATTCCCTTCTTCAGCCCCATTCAAAATTGATAAGTCATTAAAGTAAAATCTTTAAAAAACAAACAGTTACAGAATTAACTCCAATGAAACAGTCATGATTTTTCCTTCATTCACTCACGGTTATTAAGCAGTGAAGTCAAATTAAGATTTTTTTGCTAAGGCCATCTATGGGGGAAATGTCACAGAGTGGGACTCTGAGGAGCACAAGACCAGAGCCAGACAGGCCATTTGGGGAGCTACCGCAATGGAGGTAAGAGTTGTAAGGGCCTGGAGCTGGGCAGCAGGACTGCAGTGGGAAAATTCGTAATACGGTCAGGAGTTACAACCAGCATTTCGTGCTTCATCTCTGCTTCACCACCTATCAGCATGGTGTTCCTGGGAAAGCTACTCAGCTTCTTTGTGCCTCGATGTCTTTATCTGTGAAATGGTAATAAGAGTCATATCTAGCTCATAGAATAATTTTGAGAATTAAATGAATTAACACAGAGAACACTTAGAACAGTGCCTGGCATGTTGTAGTCACTCTGTGACTGAATATAATTACCACTACTATTATTAAGTAGATATGGGCATGAAAGATAAAAACAGGCAAAATTCCTCCCAATTTCTAACTTGAATGACTCTGGAAATAATGGCATCAATGACTGAAAATAAGAATGGATTTAAAAAAAAAAAGAGGCAGGAGAAAACATTAACCATATAGTAGAGAAGATGCCTACTTGATGGAACAAGATCCTAAAAGAAACCAGAGAGAATAGGGTCAAGAGGAGGAGGGCTTGGTCTTGAGATGACAAGGAGATAATAACGGATGCAGCTATAACGGATGCAGCTATAACTACCTTGGCTTCAGAGAAAGGGGAGCTTGGAATTGTTCATGTCATCAGGCCTCAGTTCCCTGGATGAATGTTCCTGAATGGGATACAATGAAATGGCAAGAATGCAAGAGAGTTCAGTGAGGAAGCATCCGACCACCAGCTGTACTCAGTCAAGAAGAAAGAAAGTGAATGAGGCTCGGTGTATATGCACAGACTAATAGAGCAGGGATAATTGAGGAATCAAGGAACTGAAGGACTCCAAGTGACAGTGAGCAGGTATAGTGAACCTTAAAATAGGAGAAAGATAGGAGGATGAGCAGTAGTGATGGGAGAGTTTAAATTTTTTGCGGTATTGAGTCAGAGTAGGAAGTTGAAGTATGCTGAAGGTCAACAGACCT